ATTATAGTCCAATTAGATTTTAACATTTAAAAAAAAAAAAAAAAAAAAAAAAAAAAAAAAAAAAAAAAACATTTGGTGTCTGGTTATTAACAGCATATATAAAGTCTTGGTTTCTCATCATTCTTGTGGAATATACAGGTCTCCCCCATCATTTGCATCTGAAATATCATATGTGCAACCTGTTTGTATTTAGAAATTCTGGGTTTCAAATTTCAATATAAAGCAAACAGAGGTCTTCCTATTATATATTGTAATGTTGGCTATTTCAGCTGTTTACTTGGAGGCTTAGATACCTGAGCACACTCTTTTTTGTATTCTTTCATGTTTAATGTAGACTTAAAATAAATGTATATGTCAGTGATTCACCTTACAATATAATGTAAATCATGGTGTGTATCCCAAGTAAAGCTATTTTATCACATCTATGGCTAGTCAAGCTATTTAGGCTGGGTACATAAGTTACTTGATAAATAATAAGTTCGAACTTCAAATCAACCGTTATGTTGGACACCGTATAAATCCATATATGCATGGTAACCTCAACAACTTTATCCCATCATACCAAACGGAATCTAAGTAGCGCTACAAATTGTACATACCGTAATATTTTTAACCCTAGTGGGTATGCCGTGTTTTTGGGGTCCAATCTCATCTCCTGGCTCTCAAGGAGACAAGGAAACAACGCACTGTTGCACGCTCCTCCACTGAGGCTGAATACAAGGCCCTCGCCGATGTTTTGGCGGAAGTCACTTGGGTTGTTTCGCTGCTCCGAGAACTTGGGCTGCATTCAGGTCAGCCTTCGACCCTGTGGTGTGATAACCTCGGCGCGACGTATCTCTGCGCCAATCCTGTCTTTCATGCTATGACAAAACACGTGGAGATTGACTATCACTTTGTTCGGGACAAGGTGGCGTCAGGAGACTTCGTTGCCAACTTTGTGTCTACTAAAGATCGGCTTGCGGATATTTCACCAAACCACTGCCAGGACCACGCTTTCAGGCCCTAAGGGACAAGCTCAACGTTGTCGCACATCAACCTTGTGCTTGAGGGGGTGTGTTAGTAATATTATTGTTACATTATTATTTCCTTATTATATTTAATTAATAATTGTGTGGCCTGTATTTGTTAGACTAGAGTTAGTCTATTAGTTAGGAGAGTTTTACGTTTCGTAGCTATTCTGAGTGTTTTAATCTCTATCCTGAAAACTGAATTTGAATTATTCACTCTCATCCAGCTGTTTACATGGAGGCCGAGATACCTGAGCACAAACTTCTTTGTATTCTTTCATGTTTAATCTACACTTAAAATATGTGAGCATATGAGCATATATCCATTAATGTGTATCCAACTATCAGCTTAGGCTTTTAGTTGAGATGGAGCACATGCTTTAATTTGGTATTAGAGCCAGACCAAAGGTCATGGGTTCGAATTTCAACGCCACTCGTAAGCGACTACGGTTTATCGGTCCACGTGTTGGTTGGAATCCACCATACACGTGAGGGGGCGTGTGAGCATATGAGCATATATCCATTAAGGTGTATCCAACTATCAGCTTAACGAACCGAACATGTTGTTCGTGTTCGTCAATATTAACGAACATGATCGTTCACATTCATAAACACGTTCGTGAATGCTAACCAAACATATGATGAACATGTTCATGATGATCACAATTCGTTCGTGAACAAGAAATAATCTATGTTCACAAAAAATAACCAAACAAGTAACACAACTACAAAGAGAATACAAACAAATATTAAACGAACACAAACGAGCTTGTTCGCAAACATTATTAAACAAATACTAAACGAGCTTGTTCGCGAACATTATTAAACGAACACAAACGAGCTTGTTCACGATCTCTTAGCAAACGAGCTTACGACCGTTCAAACTTTGTTCGTTTATTAACCGAGCTCTAAATTTTGTTTGTTAATGTTTGTTTACCTCAATAAACGAACGCTTATTGAACACGAACACGAGTAGTTTACCGAAAGCTTTGTTCGCTAACACCCCTATGTGTATCCCAAGTAAAGCTATTTTATCACATCTATGGCTAGTCAAGCTATTTGGGCTGGGTAACATAAGTTACCTGATAAATGATAAGTTCGAACTTCAAATCAACCGTTATATATGTATGTTGGACTAGTATAGATCCATATATGCATGGTAACTCTTTAACCTATCAAACCAAACAGAATCTAAGTAGCGCTACAAATTGTACATACCATAATATTTTTAACCAAAATGATGCATACGAACTAAGATTTAAATTTGAAACATCAATTTAAATAAACGATCATATTCTAATTAGATGAATGGATGTGAATCCAAGTGCATAGACATGGGCATAAACTACAAATTAAGTTGTAGAAATGTTGGTCCACATCAACTTTATTACAAGAATGAAGCTTGAAAGGAGTTATAGCTTGTCCTTTCTATTCTAAATCCTGCACAACAACATGGGGTTTGGCTTTTAGCCATGTGGGCTTTATACTATAGAAGATGGGGCAATTTTTTTTTTTTTTTTTTCCAAAATATATATGAGACAAGAGCTTGTGTTCTCCTCGATCCTTACTAACCTGGCATATGGTTGTGTATCCATTTTCTGCAACAATGGTAGTTGCAAATCTATGAGTCCAAACAAAAACCCATATATATTAAATTGCATGACAATGAAAGATTCATGGATAGGAATTAAATGGCTTTGATTGGGAAAGGTGATGTAGCCCTCCATATCTCCGCACAAGGGTTGCATCATCACCATACTTCTCCCCAATTATGTCACAACAAAATCATATATATTGCAAGTGCAACAAATAAATATTGATCTAATTATTATTTTTAAACATACATACGACACCGTTTTAGACCATAGTCCACAATGTTGTATGAACCATAGTCCACAGTAAAATTTGCCATCATATCTCTACCACATAATTTCAAATCAGTATGCAAAAAATATTTATAGATTTTTAGAAAAAATTTACACTACGAAATGAAAAGTTCTCAATTATATGTCATTAGTCATTTTAGTTCCTTTTATAAGTTGCAACTTTTAACTCTCAAAAAGTTTGCAAGAATCTATACAATTGCAATTTTGGTACATATGAATATGTGCATATGTATACTATTTACACTACCCATCACCAATTTCTTTTTTAATCTAAAGAAACCCAATAATATGATATCTATCAATAAAAATCCACCATAACAATCAAGATTGCAAGTTTTTTTTTTTCCTTATGAAAGGCAATTCAGTTATAGACCACAGGAGAGAAAGCTTAGCCTAAACCAAAAATAAACATAATAAAAGTAGCAAATAAGCAAATATATTAATCATAGTGATTCTCATGGGGTGAGATCGATCAAGTGTAGCATTAATTGGCTGACACTTGTTTTAAAATTAAAAAAAAAAATTAAATAACAAGTGAGATTTACCCTTCTTAATATCCTAATCAAATATTACTCATAAATACTTAATAAGAAAAATTAATAAAACTATAAACACGTATAGACAATAAAATACTCCGTAATATATATACAGCATAAGTAAAGAAGAAATATCTTATTGGAAATGAATTTGTAAGTACGGAGTATTTTATATATATATATATATATATATATATATATATATATATATATATATATATATATATATATATATATAAGTTAGTGTATCATAATTTTTTTTTGAATCAATCCTCCACCGAGATTCAATCTCATGACCATCCATTTAAAATGATAACAGAGGTGTTATCACATTATATAATAATTGGCTATTTTACTATAGTTTTGTTCAAGAGTAAAATTGCTTTCTTTAAAAAAAATATAAGTGAACAAGAAAGTTATTAGTACAATTATATTGCACCAAACACATTTTTATTCCTATTAAAACATTATCATTAATGATTTTGATATAACTTTTAGATTTTTATAAGAGTTAATGCCATATGGGATCCTTCGAGTATAGTGATTTTGTCGCGTTTAAACTTTTAAATCGTTACAATTCATGGTCTAAGTTAACCGCCTATGGTCATTCAACTTTCAAATTTTAACTAGTTGTGGTCCTCTTGGAAGGATCATGGTTGGTTAAATTTGATAGTTGAAGAACCATGTGTACGTGGTTAACTTAGACCACAAAGGGTAACAATTTGAAAGTCAAAGGACCATTGGTCGTTAATTTAAAAGTTTAACACTAAACGTAGCAGAATTAGTATATTCGGAGGACCCCAGATAGTATTAACGCAATTATTACACTGCACCTTAAGAAGCCAACTTGCAAAATATAATTAGGCTGGATTGACCTGTTTTTCCCTATTGATACTTCTCTATTTATTTAACCATTGATAAATTGTTATAATCATTACTTGTTATCAGGATTGTAGAAACCTTGATTCTTCTCTATTTATTTAACCATTTATAAATTATTATAATCATTACTTGTTATTAGGATTGCAGAAACCTTGATTTTTCTCTATTTATTTAACCATTCATAAATTATTATAATCATCATTACTTGTTATTAGGATTGCAGAAACCTTGATTGAAACATGATCTTTGTTCACATGGAGGGCAATTCAATAGATTACAAACATATAGAGATTTTGTGCATTGGATGTAAGATTACAATCATGTGAATTGAATTTGGACACTTTTTGGATATATATTATTTTTTCTTTTTCCTTTCTAAAAAAAAAAATAAAAAATTATTTAATGATCATGTTACAATAAGCCAACTGGTAACTACTACTGCTAAAAGGAAGATCACAAAGAAGATCCAAGAGGCCTCAAAGCCATCCTGTGGGGTCCGTTGCCATTTTGGATGACAGACCACAACAGATGTCTTTGGATTTTTAAGGTAAAAAAGTAAAATAATTTTATTTTACTAAAATAAAGAACCCCACCCAATTTTTTTTAAAAAAAAAAAAAAAAAAAAGAACCCCACCCCCCCCCCCCCCCTCCCTACAATGTCTCTTTCAATAAACCCAACTACATAAACCCCTCCAATTCCCCACTCCATCACCCCCTTCACTCTCTTCTCCTTCCTATGCTTAGGCATTTCAAGAAACAAAAATTGGTTACATAAAGAAGAATTCAATTCTGAATTGCAGTAGCATTCAATAATGGCGAGACCGCAACAACGTTATCGGGGCGTTCGTCAAAGGCATTGGGGTTCTTGGGTGTCTGAAATTCGTCATCCATTATCGTAAGTTCATTTCAACTTAAAATGTATAATTTTTAACTTAGTATCCATTTGGCTAAATGGTTCAAGAGTCACTTGAAGGTCTTATTTCAGTGGCACGGTGGTGATTCGATTCCCACTTAAGACATGTAGGGTCGTTAGGAGACCCAAAGTCCAAAAAAAATTGTGCCCAAAGTGTACAAAAGTATGTGTAAAAACTGATGACTAATTGGACGACTTGTGATTTATCTCCTCCAGCATCTTTAGAAAAGTCAGGATTCTGGGACTTAGGATCGTTAAAAATGGTTGTTATTTTGGGCAGGAAAACAAGAGTTTGGCTAGGGACATTTGAGACTGCAGAAGACGCAGCAAGAGCCTATGATGAAGCAGCAAGGCTAATGTGTGGTCCAAGGGCCAAAACCAACTTTCCATACAATCCAAACGCGCCCTTATCATCCTCCTCAAAGCTACTCTCTGCCACCTTGACAGCCAAACTGCACAAATGCTACATGGCCTCTCTCCAAATGATCAAAACCTCTCCGCCGCCCCAGCACCCACCGCCGCACCCTTCCTCCGCCACCGCTGCGCCGCCACTTGTGGCAGCGGCGCAGCCGCCGCCGGCCGATTGGGCAGTGAAGACAGAGGGAGTACTGGAAATGGGAAACACAACAGAGTTCATCAAGCCGCTGGAGGATGATCACATTGAGCAGATGATTGAAGAGCTTCTTGATTATGGGTCATTTGAGCTCTCCTCTGTCATGCAGTAATTATTATTATTTAATTTTTTGGAAAAACTATTTATATTTTTGTCCTCCATTTATACCCGTGGTACAGACTTAATTCTTGAATTATATGTGTGACAATCTTTAACCATTAAGTTATGTGCAAAGTGTCGAGTTTAGTCATTAGTGATATATTGGTAACAGAAATAATAGTTCTTCTAAGACTAAAATCGTCATTTCGCACATGACTTAAATGTTAAAAGATGGTTACGTATATTACTCACGTGAACTAAGCATGTATCATGCGCATAACTTAAGGACAAAAATGTAATTCTCTTTTCTATTTTTTTTTTTTATGTCTACATTTTACTAATTTTTAGTTTTTAACCCATATTTCAGCTGTTTCTAGCTGGAGTTCCCTTTGTAAGTTGCATTACATAGAAGGATGATGATGATGATCTTGTGTATACATCCTACTATGTACTCTTCTAAAATGATTATATATAAATATTAATGATTAATTATGTATTCTTCTCCCTATTTTCTGCCCCACTTTCTCAAGTAAAAATAATGGGCAATGACGTGTATCAAGTTTATTGTATTCAGACGTGTTTTTAACTCATCTTATTAAATTGTAATGAGATGGATAATTATTTTTATATATTTAATAAATAAAGGTTTTTTTCAGTAATTTATTTTTTTTATATTGTATTTGATATCTCTACCATTATAAGATTATTCAAATTATTCAATTTAAGAAGGATCAGACCAAAAATAAATAAATAAATAAATAAAATTAAACATGACACACTCTACCAAGTGGCTTGTAGTCCACTGGTATCAGATTGCTTCCCTAAGTGGGAGGTGTAAGGTTCAAACCTTAATTAAGGCAATAGTGTGTATATGTAGGGTATCCCCCTTCCTTTAAAAAAAAAAAAAAAAAAAAAAACATGACACACTCTTATAAAGAGTCTATCATCTCACCTTGCAATTACATTAGCAATTTTATTATCAATTGCTCAAAAATACTACTTTAATATATTTTAAAGGAACGTATATGATTTTTGAGAAAATCACTTCATGCCACTAGACCACAAGGTTATTGATAATTTTTTGTCTAATTAAAGTCACAAGTCTATCCGTCTGTGACTAGGATTAGATATAGTCTTAGTGAGTATAAAAACTTGTAACAAAATATAATAACAGTATTATGTTATCCTATAAAAATCATTACATAATATTCATTAATTAATGTGTTATTATTTGTATTGAATAGCTTTTTTATTTAATACAAAATTCAGTATAAAAATTTTTATATAAAGTATTTTTTAGAAATAATCTAAGGGAAACTTTAGAATAAAATATTGTCTTTTTCTAGTACCGCAAATTGCGGCTGGATGCATTATTTTCTAATCTTTGACCATATCATCCACGGCAAATTATGGTCCACACAGAACCACATCGTTCAACTTTATGAGTTAAAATAATATCATATTAGAATAATGAAACTTTTAGAGTAAAATAATATATTTTATAAATTAGAATAATATATTTTATGAGTTAGAATAATATATATTATATTTTAGAATAATGTACATTATGAGTTATAAAAATATATATTATAGTGAATCACGTGAAAAAAAAAATACACTAAACAACATTGTTTTGGACCACGGTCCACGCAATAACTGTTGATCATCCACACACAACAATAACAGGTGCATATTTTTATTGTTTACAGTCAATGTACAACTATGGATAACATATATCAATTCTTTTTATAATAAATCTTACATCATTTGAAGTGATGTGATCATATGCAGCGGGGGAAATAGTGAGAAACGTAACGTTGTTGGTATGTGGATTTGTGGATTCTTATATAGAATTAGTATCAAGTTGATGGTAGGGTATGAGTTGAGTTGAATTATTGTTGAAAAAGATGGTATAAACATGTGAAGTTAGAGACAAACTCTCTGATCTAGTCATTATTCATAAGATTAAACTTATACTCAATTTGTTTTAGTGTGAGAGATTCACGTTTTCATATTTTGAAAGTTATTTAAAAACTCTTACGTTTGGGATTAGATTTGTTCCATTAAATACATTCACGAAAAACACATCATGACCAATGTTATCATGGTCCTTGATTTTATAATAGTTACGTTCTTGCTCCTTTGCATAAGTTACAACCCTTACTTTTTACTGAATTTGTCGACATTGTTTAAATTAAAGTCACATAATATGATTCTTTTTTCGTTTCCTTCTCTTCTATCCAAACATGGAGTTTCAATCATATCAATATAAAAGCATCATATCCTATTAAAATTCCTTTATTTCCACATAATAGCCTATAGGCCTAGGTTCAAATCTTATCATTCCGAACGGCATCAAATGTATAAAAAAAATATAAAAATAAAAAAGACTCGAAAAGACCATATTTTATTGCAAGATACATAATTTACTATAAGATTTATAAATTTTTTTATATATTAACGATTAATAATAAACAGTTAAATTTACTAATTAAACGCTTATCCTCGAACAACTAATGCTAACAACTGATCAAATCAACTAATAGCTAATACAATTCGTTAACCATTGATGACGGGGAATAAGCAATTTAGCATTCACATCTAACTACAAGGAAACTATGATTCTGCCATATCCCTAGCTGCAATTTGATATATGAACACAAACTCTCTTTCAAAACAGAAAACAGAGAAAGTTTTCTACTTTTTATTTGGATGGGGTGATAGTGTGTCTTTGTTCCTCGGATAAATAAAAAGCCTTTGAATTTTGGTGGCTAACGAAAGAGATTTTTAGTACTTTTGTTAGAGCAGAGAAGTATGATAGTATTGAAGTCTTCTTCTGCTGTGGGATTGCTGCAGCTTAAAGGAGAGGGCAAGAGAGATTCTTGTCTACTTGTGTGTTTATGGTGTAGAGTAAAACAAAGTCTTACATGATTTCAACTAAACTTTTTGTACTTTAGAAAAATGCTACACCTTAATATATCTTTCTTGTGGATGAAAATGAAATGAAATATAATATTTGTTACAATATTATTTTGGGTATTATTTCACTTCATAAAAAGTCTACAACTTTAAATAACATATTTTTAAAATAAGGTACAGACAAAATTTGATTCCTATTTATGGTGTTTCAAGAAAATACTTATGAGTATTCCAGGCCAAAGTAGGAGCAATGTTGTGCTCTCAAGTCTCAAGTAGGATTGTCAATGTAGACTAACCCGTCCCACCATGGGTTGCAATATTTGCGGGTTGGCCCGCGGGCTAGAATTCTTCAATCCTAACCCACGGGCCAACTTCATGAATTAAACAAATATTATAATATTATTCTATGTTCTAATAATTTAACTTAAATAATATTAGATTTTTTTCATGTTAGAAATTAGAAAATATTAACCTGTCAATCTGCATGGGCCAAAAATTTGAGCCCCTAACACGCTCCACAAGCTTCGGTTCACTTTGATACCCCTACTCTCAAGTTTGAAATTCTAGCTTAAGATCTATTTATGAGTATATATTTGCCGTATTAGTTATTTGTAATTGTTCATTTATTATTTTTAGGAAAGCGATGCACATCATATGCGGTAAATTATATCGTGCACCGCGGTGCACAATTGATTATGCACCGCGCATCAAAATGACGTCGTTTTATTTAATGAAAAGAAATGGAATTCGTTTCGTGCCGTTTCGTAAAAAATAACTGTTCTTCAGTTTCATTTTGTATACACTGCAGTTTCAGTTTAACACAACTACAGTTTCATTTTTAAATATAACTACAGTTTCATTCAATATTTATACACTCAAATATGTGAAAATATTATTTAATTTTATTTTATATACACTATATATAGTTTCATTAAAACACAACTACATGATCATTTCGATATAATTACAGCTTCATTGTACAATATACACTCAAATATGTGAAATGTTATTCAGTTTCATTTTATATATATTGCAGTTTCATTTCACCACAACTACAATATCATTTTGATATAACTGCAATTTCATTTGATAATATAAAAATAATACGTGAGGCAGTGTCGGTTTAGATACATTGTAGTGTCACTCCGTTAACACTAACAGCGCACCGTTTCTTTACTTAAAGAAACGGTGCCGTTTTGATGCGCGGTGCATAATCGATTATGCGCCGCGATCTACGATATAACCACTGATCATATGCAGGGTGGAGCCAGAATTTTGATTGAATGGGTTAAAATTAAAACAATTCAAAATATAGTCAGAATTGTTTATAATAAAATTTGAAATATTATTAATTATATATAAAGATACTCATAAAAAATACATTATAAGTCAAAATACAATATTAAGGACAAATTACAAGATAATACTCATTTATATTCTCTCATATTTACCAAGACTATGTTGTAATGGTACCCAGGTTAGACTTTCATTTGAAAAGTTATGAGTTCGAGTCTCAGTGGAGGCGTTATTAATTTTTTGTGTTTCAGTAGGTTGAGAAAGTATATGAACAGATACTACAATGTAATAGGGCCAGTAACATTCAAAAAAAAAAAATATTCTCTCATATTCTAAAACTAGTATAAAATTGCCTCATTCGAAATACAATGAAAAATATATTTTTTTCAACATACAAGACACTAAGCTACCATTTAACATATGCCATATCAACTAATCAATTTAAAAAATTATTACTATACATGACACGTTATAAATCATAAATTAACTTACATTGTAAATCTCATAATTTGACATTAATCACAGACTAACACATATTATAATTTTATCAAATGCACAATTAAATAATTAATTAGTTATAAATAAATCTTACAAAAATAATTTCTTGTGAATCTCATAAAAATATTATTAGAAGTTTAGAATTATGAATTATACTTTTAAAATATTTTTAAAAGATTTAAGAATGTATTAGGATCCGGGGTCTCAAGACATCTTCCAACATGTTCTCATGAACATTATGATCCGGGAACTCAAGGCACTATAAACCTCTCTCATGGAACATAGACTTGAATTGGTAGCCAAAGGCATCGGTAATCGTATTTTGCTCTCTATAGATATAAGTAACATTAATCTTTTAGTGCTTGCTCAGAAATCGAGAGCATTCTTGTATAATATTCCTCATGGAACAAGGAGCCACTCATTCATTCTTCAACCACTAAACTAGGACCTCTGAATTAGACTCAATATCAAGAATCATAATTCCCTTTGGATGAAATATTAATCTATCATCATCGGGATGTCCTCCAAAATTCTCACCAAACACTTTATAGAATGGTTCACCATTTGTAGGGTATTAATGTAGACTTTGGTTCTCCCAAAATAACTTCTTGCACAAGGAGTAAGGCTTGATACTCACACTTACCCTTAGATCACACAAAGTCTTTCCAACCACAAATCATCCAATAACACAAGGTGTAGAAAAACTACTGGATCCTTGAGCTTTGGAGGCAATGATTTGTGAAGCACGTCACAAGTCATGGCCCCTTACTCAAATCCACCATGATCTTCTTCTCTAAC